GTTTGACATTGTTTGATTTTACTATATGAATATATCGTCGGTCGAAAACAGTAGTGGAACATTTCAAAATGAGTAAATGTAAGATATCGAGCAATAAAAAATTTGAAATTCTTATTTTTCCATTTAGCAAGTGTTAAGAGAAAAAAGGATTGTTTTTAATGTTGTTATATTTTGGTTAGACTTTAGATTTATGATTTCTATTAAATTCATTCATTTTTTATTATTTGTTTTTTAATTATAAGTAAATATTTGAAATGTTCCACTACTGAATTAATTTATCGAATGCAAATATCCCTCTGATAATGGATTATTTTTGAATGTACCAGTACTGAATTAAAAAACTTTGTATTTTTCTTAAATAATGTCCTAAATAAAAATGAAATCTAGAAAACCTTAGCAAATAATTGCATTTTTAGAGAATAATTAATAAAACACTTTTATAGTTTTATAACATTTTTTTATTTATAAGAAAGAAAATATAAAAAATGGAACAATTAGTCATCGTCATCTCTATCTGAGGACGCTGGCAATGTTTTATAATAATCCCAATAAACGCTTGGAATTACGTTACCATCACATAATGAAATCAAATCTTTCTTTTTAAGATTTGATATTCCAGGACGAGTGCGATATTTATTTGTCAAAACTAATGTTTCGTTAGGCTTGCCCCGCATTTTATGCCGAACATTGAAGCATTTCATTGTACTGTCAGGTTTATAAGTATCCAAGTAATAAATAGCGAAAGGATTAGTAGCTTGCATAAATATTTTCTTGATATCATTCCACACTACACGCTCTCCTTCTGTATTTATTGTAAAATTTTTCCCAAAGTGTGCAATTAGTTCTTTTAAATCAAAAATGTCTGAATAATTTAAATCATGAACTTGGTAGGGATTACCTTTCTTCTTAGCACATTGTATAATTGTCCTCCATTGAGATGGCACGAACACGGAACCATTTTTTAATATTCGGGATTTTTCTCTTTCAATAGTGGCATGAACGCTATCGCCTTCGTTCTGAGTGTGCCCGACAACAAAGTATTTGTGTGTTATAGATTTCACACCCAACATTTTTAAGGCATAATAGTATAATGACAATAAATACTTATTGTTATTTTGTGCTGAGCAATTGTCGGTATAAAATATGACATGTTTTCCATGACAAAACTCTTTGAAAAACTGTAAAATACAAGATCCTACCTCGTCACATCCTTTTCCACCCAAAGTTTCGTCCCATAAATAACAATGTCCAGATTTATTAACGATGTCATATACGGTACAATTATAAACATTAAGGCGTCTCTTATAAAAAAATAGCGAGTCATTACCCGCTGGAGTTTGAAGAACCGCTTGCAAGTCATAACAACAAATAATCTTTTGTTTGTCATTTTTGCATGTTTCTATATCTATCCTCTTCTCTTCTCTGCAAAGCTCTTTTTCTGTAAGATGATCTTTATAACTCTTTTCCATTTCTTGTTTCTGTTCTGTTGTTGCATTATTATAAGAACAGCAAAGAGAGCACTGATCCTTCTTTGGTACATGAAAAGCTATATTAAATTCAGTTCTAAAAATGTTTTCATACGTTCCTTGTTTAGCTTCAGGCTTACCTTCTTTATTACACCACTCTTTGTATTGCCTGTACATCATACATAGATTTAATTCACCATCAAAATATTGTTTATTTGATGATGCTCGACAGTAGTGCGATTCCTTAGTAGGATATGAGTTAATGTGTTCACGTACTCCATCCTTAACAAAGTCAGGTAATAGTTCACCTTTCTTGTTATGCTTACCTCTTAAATCTTCTAAAACTATACCCGATGATGATGTTTTCTTACATACCGTCGTTATAAATGAGTGCCCTATATCCAAAGTGTGCATAAAGAACTTTTTACATACCCTTATAATTATACCATCTACTGTTAAATGATAAGCCGCATTAATAGATCTTTTACTCTGAGCATTATGTAGCGAATATTTCGGCTTTACTTCTTTCATAGCATTTTTGACAAAATCTCGCTGTCTATTCAAATCACCTAATATCCAAAAATTATTGAATATTACTAATCTTTGCTGCTCATTAATCATCAGTGTACACTTCAAGCGACATTTGTCTCCACAACCAGGTTTTAATTGTTTAGCATTAACTAATTTTCCTTTCTCAGTAGTGTAAGCCATACCTGAATTTTTCAAACATTTCTTTTTATTTTTCTTCCATGCCTCGGGATTTCGTTGTCTCTTTCTTGTCAACTTCTTCTTTTCTTCCGAAGCATTATTTTTAGAAATCGGGGTTGATGGTGACGGCTCTCTGTTATTTAGTATATTATTTTCTATATCTTCTCCTCCCCGTAAAATTTCCTTTATCTTCTCCTCCCCGTAAAATTTCAATAAGCTCTCCACCTAAGCAAACGAAGACCTCGTATAAAGCTATTGCATAAATGATTTAGAACTATGAAAAACATGTTGATGGGCAGCAAGCTAATTTATTAAAATGGTATAAAAAATCATACTTAGATTAGAAGCTTCATTTGCTGGCTCATGCTGGCTGGCTACGAACCTATAGTCTGTACAACTTTCCATATTTATTGCCTGATCAACACCTTAAAAGAAATTCAAACAGTTAAATATACACACTATACCAAAACACAAAAATAATATACGCAGATAGGTTACGTAGCTACCTCTATTATGTACTTAAATACATGAAGATAGGTACGTACCTCGATTATGTACTTCATTCAGGGGCAAAGTATTCTCTTCAACGTATTGCTGTATCTCACCAACTTCATTATTATTAGATATAAAAATAGTGCCTGTAGATTTTTCTATGTTCAATATCTGTTCAGCATCTTAAAAGCAATAAAAACAGTTAATAGGACAGAATGTTTAATAACATGTATTAGATATAAAACACAAAAGTTAATAAATAAGCATATCTTATAAAACACGTAAGTTATTTACCTAGATTTTGTTCTTCATTTTGTGGTAAAGAATACTCTTCAACTTGCTTTATATCACTTTCTGTAGAATAAAAGTTGTTAAAATATAGCCAAAGCGTGCAAAATTTTAAAAGTAACGACTCCTTACAAAATACACAAACGTTACAAATAGAATACACACCTTTGTTTTCAATATTGGCGTCTTCATGGATTACCATTTGCAACATTTTCATTGATCTTCCATATAACTTAGACACAGACATTTTTGCAGATTGTATTACTTTTGACAATACGTCTACCAAGCGCAGCATGCAGCGCGTAACTAAACAAATGCGCGCGAGACTCAAGCGAGATCGAGAAGCGTGGTGGAATAAATTTAATTCAACTTTTGATTTTGAGTGCCGTATTGGAACATTTCGAAGTGTCCCAATACTGAATAATATTATATGCACAGAGTAGAAGTGGAACTTTTATTTTTAATCGACTTCTATGTGGAGTTTGACTTATTCCGATACTGATATAGAATTGGCACTGAAATAGTAATGTAACACTCATAAAAAGTTAAAAACCAATTTTCAGAGATGTTCCACTACTGTTTTCGACCGACGATATAAATGAAATTGTAAAATTGCATTCAAAAAAACCTCGGGGATTCTTTAATTTGCTCAGAGGTCTTCTTTATGCTAATCATGATTTTGATGAGTTGAGATGATGAAACTTTCACGTTCATAAGATTTTTAAATAAAACTAAATTGAATAAGTTTTGACTTTGACTTTTGGCTTAATAATGTTTTGTGGGCTACAATCAATTTGGGGACCATTAGTACCAAACTACAACAAACATCTGGCATTTTAACAAAAGGTTGCATTTACTGCTACTGATCATAGTCTGATAAAAGTTGAAACATTTTTTTCTAAGACCGACAGGGTCAACAAAATGTCTTTGGGTTAGGATTACCCAAAGGGCCACCATAGCAACACATCACCAATAAAAAGGGTGACTACAATTTTAAGTGTGGATTTACCAAGTACAATAGAATCTTGATACCTTAAATGTCAAGGGAAATGCAAAAAATTTCTAATTAATGAGTTTTTGACTTAACAAGTTTTAGATACAAAGGATTTAATTGCTAAAATTTCGAATCAGTAAGGTGTGATTTTAAGTATATTTTTCAAGTTGTAGAGTCTAAGTTTATTAAAAGTTCACCTTACGTTTTATGGTACATATTTATTAAAATATATCACATATTACTGAAGTAAACTATACAATGCTGTATTTAAGTAAGCACAATACATTGATAATGTCGAATTTTTCATGTAGAGTTAAAGTCGTTAACTTCTTTTTAGTACCGTAAAACGGGGTGTATAGAAATTGCGGGGTGAATAGAAAAAATATCAAGAAAGTTTTCGAGGTTAATATTTGACTATTTTTCGTTGAAGGATTTTGGTAGTATTTTAAATTATTACACATCAATATTTTTTCTTTGCGTTGGCAACAAGTTTTAAATGTCAAAATTGACATTTATCCTTTAAAATTTACTTCAAAGTTTACCTTCTGTAAACGCGTTTAATTTAACTGCCGCAACTCTTAATTTTAGGTGTTAAAAATTAGTGAATTGTGTTGTTTAATGTGTTTATTTTATTACTTGTGTGATAAATTTTAAAAATTCAGTGAAGGTAAGTGAGAATCCGTTATTAAACCTCAAAAATTTGTTAAAATCACAGTACGTGTAAATTTATTGTTTAAAAGGGGTTAATAGAATCTGTTGAAGGGGGAATAGAACAGTAATATGGGTTTAATGGAAACCTAGTAGGGAATAATAGAAACGCTTAATGTGTGAATAGAAACTAATGAGGGGTCAATAGAGATAAATAAATAGGGTTGTCAACAACTGTTAACATAACTAAATAACTACCTTCATAGTTTTAGTATTAATAAATAGTAAGTCCATAATATATAGGTAGTATCTTAGAGCTGTGGATTTAGTCATTGATAAATAAATAATATTTTTAAAGTTATAATTTTAATTTACAGGTACATACCGCCCTAGGTATATTCGACATGCCGCGTGTATACAGACCCGATCCTACAAGGAAAAGGTATAAAAAATATGACACGGAAATAATAAAAAAAGCTGTGGAAGAGTATGTAACTTCTCAAAATGTAAAATTAGAAGAAGTTGCTAAAAAATATGGCATACACAAGTCGGTGTTGTATCGTCACAGTACCAGGGATATGAAGCGACAAGGAGGCCAAAGAGCTTTGTCCGATGAGACTGAAGTGTTCTTAATTGAAAACATAAACAAATGCGCAGAATGGGGTTATCCCCTAGATACTATGGATCTCAGATACATAATAAAAATGTATCTTGATAAGATAGGTATAACCCATAAAAGATTTAAAAATAATTTTCCAGGACCAGATTTTGTGCAGAGCTTCCTATTAAGACACAAAAATGAGATTTCTCAAAGAGTTTGTGAAAATATCAAGCGTGTGAGAGCTAAGGTATCTCCGGATACGATTAAAGAATATTTCATCGAACTTGAGAAATCTTTAAGTGGAGTACCTACTTCTAACATTTTAAATTATGACGAGACAAATTTGTCGGACGACCCTGGGCGGAAGAAAATATTGGTCAAGCGGGGGTGCAAGTACCCTGAAAGGGTTTTAAGCCATACCAAGGCTTCCGTGTCTATTATGATGGCTGGTACCGCAGATGGTAAAATGTTACCGCCATATGTGGTATACAAAGCAACCCATTTATATGATTCCTGGGTCCAACAAGGTCCTGACGGTACTCGATATAACAGATCGACATCTGGATGGTTTGACGGAACCACTTTTGAGGACTGGGTGCAAAATATGGTGGTCCCTTATCTTAAGGATTTACCAGGCAAAAAGTGCTTAATTGGAGACAATCTGTCTTCACATTTATCAGCAGATTTGATCCAAACATGTAAAGGGCACAATATCGATTTTGTATTCTTACCAGCCAACTCGACTCACCTGACGCAAACGCAAGCGTGCCTGGAGACAATTATTATTAAAATGGAAAAAGACAGATGGTCGACAATTACCCACGATTCCAAAAGGTTGCTTTCCAAAACTATTAAAATTGCTAATTGATGAGCTTAATATAAATGCTTCAAGGAATATTATTGCTGGATTTAAGAAAACAGGGATTAGCCCTTTAAATGTACATGAAATATTAGCTAGACTTCCCGACGGAGACTTAGGTGCAGACAATCAAAGTGTTGTGGAAGATTCTGTAGTAACACTCCTCAAACAAATGAGATATGGTTCCATGAATATCATGGAGCCTAAAAGAAAGAGAAAACTCAATGTACTCCCAGGTAAAAGTGTCGCTGCAGAAGAAATTGAAGATTATGCAGACTGATATTGATTACAGTATGGAAAATCCTAAAAAAACAAAATACGATACAAGTACTAGTGGCCCATCAAGTTTAAATAATAAGAATAAAGAAAAAGGTAAAAAAAATAAAATGACAAACTTGAAAATAAAAGCAAATGAAGAAGAAGTAAATTGCCCTGAGAAAATAGAACGTAACAAAGGAAAAGGTAAAGGGATTGGAAAAAAAACTAAGATACCATATTTGGAAGCAAAAGCAATACAAGAAAAAGAAAATTTCGACAATAATATAGAAAACAATAAGACTAAAGGAAAGGATATCGAAGAAATAACAAAAAAATCAAGTTTGGAAAGAATAGAAAGAGAAGACATGAACAATAATAATAACAACAATAATGAAAGGAAAGAATTAGATAACAAGGCAGGTCAAAAAAAATGCGGAAATACAAGACAGGAAAATTACGATAATGTCACAACTTACGAAGATTATGATAATAACATAGAAGAATTACAATGCAAAATACATAATGATATAGACATCAAAACTCTACCCATTCTCTTTTTTGATAGCTTATGTGAAGAGGTTACGATCAGTACGGGAAATGCTGATGACATTATGGAGAGTAAAATAAAAATTATATTCAATGAGATAGTGAATGACGGTCAGTATAACAAAAAATACAAATTACCTATTATAAAAAAAAGCAAGACTGTAGCGGTACAAGATCCTATTAAATTGCCAAGGAAAAACCTATTAAATAATTACTACAATAATAGTGACGAAATATTAAAAGTTCTAGAAGAGGATGATGTGAACTAGATACCTAGATAGTTTAGTTTGGGACCTAAACTTTATAATTTTTATTATTTTTACACAGTAGTACTGGTTCTATACAAATCTATAACGTAGGCTCAAGTTGATTTACCTGTGATAACTTTGTTATGATAATTGATAAGTTTAGAAGATTTATAATTATTTTTATATATATTTTTCGTCGTATATTCGACTTTTAATGCAGAAATTTGATTTGTATTTTGTTTTATTTCATTCAAATAAAAATACGAATAAACTGTTAAGTATCTTGTTTGATTTATTAAATAGTTCATTAATATTCCGTAAAAATGAAATCAGTTAAAATACAAGTATATTTATGTTAATAAATATAAATTGTTTAAATCACAAAATTTGAAATTTATTAAGCATTTACAAGAGAAAAAATTTTGAACACAGAACCTTACATTTTTGCATGTTGGATAAAAGTAATTTGTGGCAGCCCTAATAGTTTTTCCATTCACCCCTTTACGCGTGTCTATTGACCCCAGTCGTTGGGTGAATAGAAATGGTAAATATTTTACAAATTTTCTGGAAAACCTATCTTAATAGTTAAAAAAATATTGTTGTAGCTCTTTTTACACGGTACCGGACATGATATAAAATCACCTGAGGTAAAAAAAAATAAGTTATTAACAACAAATTCTTTGGACAAAGTTGAAAATCATTGCTATTCACCCCGTTTTACGGTACTCATGTTGTTGGAAGTAATCAATCGATCAATATATTCTTTATTGTACACCATACAAATTAGAATGAGCAAAATGAAATAAATATATCCTATTTACAATAGGCAGTGTTATGGCTCTAGAAGTTATTTCTTCCAGACAACCCTTATTTAGGAAAGAACTCTTGTTTACAGCGAATTGCAAATGGGGAAGGTGCACATAAATCTGACAATCAAGTCAAAAAAAATTATAAGTATATAAATACACACAAGATGATGACTGTTGAGGATAGGCAGGATAGATACAATTAAGGACTGAAATTATGATGGGAAATATTTGAGTTCCAAGTAATTTTGAGTAGATTTTTGAAGGAAAAAAGGGACTGAGCACATCGAATATATACAGGCAAGGAGTTCCACAAGCGTACAGTGTACAGTTAATAGTGAAATAAGTACTGATTCACAATAAACAAACAGAAGATACACAGCTTTGTTACATAGAAAATTTATGATAATGTATTCATTCATTACACGTGTACAAGACACAAACAATAGTTTAGAAGCACTGAACATTCCTTTTGGATTTTATTGCTTATTTTATATTTCACTAACTACAACTTACAGAGTTTACTTTTGAAATTCGAGTTATAGAGTATAATATATGTACTATCAATACCTCATAGGAAAATAACATTTTGTTCGAATTACAAAGGCTAAATAATTCGAAATATAAATATTCTCTGTATCTCGAATTGTTTAGGGGTTCAACAGAAGACTTAACAAGGTTCAAGTTATCTAGATTATACTGTAGTTATATAGCAATGAAGGGAAACATCATAAAGTAAACCTAAATGTTTGTTAGAATTCACCATTTGCAATTTGACTCGTAGGTAATTGAGGATAGATGTAAGTCTATAAGCCACACATCCACTTACCATCCAGTGTGCTTGTCGGTGTGTGAACCTTAGTTGAAACACATGTATTCTAAATTAGACATAATTTTTTTTTGAGTATAAGCTAATGGTAGCACTTACTTTTCACACTTTTGTTTTTGCTCCAAAATTTGACTTTTATAGCATTCTGATTCTATATAAATGTTCTCAAATTCTAAAACAAGATCTGAAAAATTATATAAAAATATTAAGCTTCAGGATAAATCCATTTAACATAAAGGCGAAAAATATAAAATAGTAACCTTTGAAGTTTATGATAGATTGTTGTAATGTTTGTTCTAATGCAATTATTTTTGGATTAGGAGATAATTTTGGGATAGGTGTAATCAAGAGTCCGTCATCCATTATGATAGTTTTTTTTTAGTTAAAACATATTAATGCATATAAAATAGTTAAGTACAACTTTATATTAGTCACAGTTACACAAACAAACTATATAGAAATCATACAACTTTATAATTTGTGTTTGTGATAGAAATTCTTGTACATACAACTTTATAATTTGTGATAGAAATTAGATTTCTTGTACATACAACTTTATAATTTGTGATTAGATTATTTAGAAATTAGAAACACTACGGGCAAATTAGAAATCACAGAGTATCTTTTTATAACAGTACTCTGTGTTTATAACCAAAGCAAGAGTACCTATTAAAAAGTACTCTGTGGTACCTATGTTAGAAGTTAGAACTTAGAAATTAGCAAATTACATAGACAAACAAAAACAATTCCGAACCAAGTTCCCATTAGACCATAGATAACATCATTTGCATTGGACATTGATATAAGAAAAATAGAGGATAAGCAGTAAATTGCATATATATTTTTTGGTTATACAGATATTATGCAAACATGAACCTTGCCAATAAAAATATATCTGTCTCATTCTCACACGTTATGATTTTCAAATGTAAAAAAAGATAAGTACATATCTTAGACTTCAATTTTCTGTTGACAGTTTTCATAATTTCACTAAGCTCCACCTTGAAGCATGACGCCATTTTAGGATGACGTTCATTTGTGGTAGTTCGTCTGTTATCTAAGCCTTGTTCGGAGTTATTTTGCAGAGTTACAGTTAATTTTGACTATTTTGGAGCTTTTTTGTTCATTAGTAAAGGGTAATTGAGCAAAAACAACATGACAAAGTGTTGCATCAATGGATGTAATTCAAATTCTCGTAAAAATGAAGAAGGATTGTCATTTTTCAGATTGGTTGTAACTTTTTTCCATAATTGTATATTTTTTCGTGTGAATTGGGTTTCGTGTTCATGTTATGGGTTCTAAATCGTGTTTCCCGCTATTATCTAGAATTTCCAATACTATTATCATGTAAATTTAAACAAGTAAACATTTTGATTGTTTACATTTTTACATAGTGTTGTCCTTACGTGCTGTCATGTTTTGAAATAATCGATATAAATTTTAACAAAAATATTAATGTAGTCCTATGTTCAAATAACGTTTTAGATACGTAAACTGTATATTTGATAATCAAACGATCGGTTGAGAGCCTTTCATTTAAGAAAAGATCTTGAAAATAGTGTAAACCGTAAATTTTCTATAATAGTTTTCTTTCATTAAGTTTAAGATTATTTTTGATTGGTACTTAAGGATGCATAATATTTATTTTAGATTGCCAAAAAATGAAGGCCTTCAAAATTGTGGATTGATAATATAGGCCAGGAAAACGTAAAACCTGCAGTAGTAAGAAGAATATGCTCCTTGCATTTTGAAAAAGAATGTATAAATAGAACGCTGGATGTATTTCGGCTTAAGGGTGATTTGGTTCATGTGTTTAAAATAAATTTTCTGACTAAATTATATTATTTCGTCACGAATAAATGATTTTAATCAGTATACATTATTGTTATTTTATTTATTTAATCCTTACTCTCTCGTTTACCTCCAGTATCCACCACTAATTACGCTACTGGTGGAAGTCATTACAACTTGCAGGTTGTAAACACTATAAAATTAATATATTGTGGTGTTACACAAATGGGATATAATGAGAAATGAGAGTGGAAGTGGAAGTCTGAAGTGGCGCAGCCACCCCTATTGATCGAAATGTTGCATGGAAATTGTTTGTCATATGGTATGAACATGAGATGCTGAAGATTGAGGAATACGTTAGGATAGTTAAATGATTAATGAATTGTGTGAACGGTGGTATGGTTGGAAAGGGGCTGCTCAACTCGATTAGATTACTGAGATAAATAAATAAATAATCTTTATTATCAAAACAAAAGAGAGATGAGGGCTAGTAACTATGTATGAAATAACACATGCTCCACAAACTTTAAATAAATCAAGATAAAGGTCAGTCTACTGTACGTTCATGATGACTTGAACTGGTAACCGAACATTACCACGAAAGAAAGGTGTTGTCGAATCTTTATGGCGGCTTGGAAGTTAAGAGCGAGCGCTAGTCCGTGCAGATATAGTTGAAAGAAAACTTGATGGTGTCTCAGATTACAGTACGTAAAGCGAAGCGTGAAGGTACAGGACTTGCGCTCGCAACTAACTTCCCAGCCACTATAAAGTCTATATATATATGATATAATTCACGCAACCTGGACGCATACCGTTGAGGCTGGTTCGATGTGGTGCAGGACAAAACCACTGGGAAAAACTTAGGGGAGACTTCTGCCTAGTAGTGGGACAGCATGGGCTGGACAAAAAAATCATACGAAGCCTAATACATTGCCTATAGTGGTTTCGTTAATCTCTGCAGAGGAGAAAAAAAATGCATGCATGGGTCGATACCCAGGGACGCACGGATGGAGTGCTTATGTGCAGATTGCCGTCGTTAAGAAAAAACGTTAGCTCGTTGCACGAACTCAGTATAATATTCTGGTGCACGTCATATACGTGTTCCGAAAAGAAAGGAGTTAAAGCTCCAATCAAGTGTTCCTTCCTTGGTCTCTTCGCTCACTTTTGACTGTTGCTTCACCATATCTTAAAGCAATTACAGTTTCAAAACTTTCCTATTCTGAGTTGAACGTAAGATTTATTTATTTATCATCTCAATACAACTATTATTACAGGATTAACCCAATGCAATAGTGTAGTGATCTAATATTTGTTTATTTAATATATACCTCTGAGATGGACAATACGTCATAATTTATATAGCATCGATACTGAAAATATCGACAAAAACAACGCTATTTCTTGTGGGTGGAGTCGTCGCCATATTTGAGAAACACTTGACTTCAGATCACGTGACCACATGCCATATCCCCTATTTTTCTTATATCAATGGCATTTGATGCCAGCTTTGCCAACACAATTTGTCAAATTCCCCGAAAAGCCATGTCAAATTCCTTAATTTAGGGACAAAACTTCAACAGATTCCCCACAAATTCCCCTCAATTTTATTTTAAGAAACGAAACAAATTTCAACTAATTTTATAAGATTTATATTTCGTGAAAAAAGGTGCTGACTTAGTAGAGACTTAGATCGATGTTTAGGGAAGACAAAATATTTCATAAACTGTACATTATTGTTGATGTTATTGACTGCTTTGCAATTTGCAAATTGCAATTGCAGTGGCTCTACCACTGCTCCACAGTGGTAGAGCCACGCGGCAGCTTTTGCTGTCGCACGGATGGGCCGGCTCGAACCGGGGTGGTACCACGACCTCACAGAATACCAGCGTGAAGTAGAGGTTTACCTCTGCGTTTCGCTTGGTGAGTGCAGGTGGCCGGAGGCCCTTTTTACTGGAAATGAGGCATTCCATCTTAGTCCTCACGGGTGGCAACGCATCTGCATTTTGATTCGCAAACGAGGATAGATGTAGATGTCTATGGGCCGCAGCAACCACTTACCATCAGGTGGACTGTGTGCTCGTTTGTCACACTTATCCTATAAAAAAAAAATAATAATATTTCCAAGCATGTTATTGATATATTATGTATGTTATTATTAACAGAGAGTTTCTTCACAGAACATAAACGTTAATTTAAATCAGCAAAATTCCAATTGTGATAACTTAACTCAGACCAAATACATGACATGAAAAAGATCAATTTCGAGTCAATATAGTTAATACACAGTTAGCAGTAATAAATATTAAAATATAAATATATGAAATTAATTTGAGAAAATATTTTCAACATGAAAGAAGTTAACAAACAAATGTGATTTCTTATTTCTTTTAATTCATGACTTCTTTTGATAGATTTCTATCAATATTTAATAATTTAATTTTAATCAATTAAAAGGCCAATTAATTGTGCAAACCTCAAGGCAATGTGTATGTAATTACTTTAAGGTCCAAGCTAAAAAAGAGTATAACTCATAATTAATCATATTTATATTTTCAGTTTCTTTCGATATAATAAATTATATTTGTATCTAATTTTTAAAATGGCAATCTAAAACAACGTGAAGGAAAGAAACAACGATATCTTTTACTTTCTCGCTTTATTTTAGTCACCCAACCTACACCTAGACAAAATTGTGATTTTGTGCAAATTTCTTAGATTTTATGATTTTATACAAAGATGGATCATCCTGGTTACTATACTCTTTGCATTTTTGACACAGAACCTTGTCTAAATTATCATACTGGACATAGTCATAATATTTAATATATTAGGTACTATTTTTTCCCTACTTTAACTACACCCTAAATAATTTTTTTGAATTAATTTTTTTTCTTATCGAAATATTGCATACAGATGAAAAGAAATATAATTTTTTTTCTTATTTTACTTCCGTGAATCATTTTTACAGCTTGGCACTGCACATTTCACCAAGGTAATTTAAAATTTAAATAAATACCGTTAAGAGAAACATTTAGAACGCGTGACTATTCGTGAGTATAATATTATTATAACGTGATTATAATAATGTCGCTCTTGCCGTTTCGAGACTGTTCATAACCGTGCTTACTGTTCACACTCGCTAAGGTGCGCTCTATGCTCTATAGCTTGCTTAAAATACTCTCAAATTATTAATTATTTTGCAAGCAAAATATTTGAAGCTTACTTAACACTGGCAAAAGAACAATCGTACGAGTCAATTACCAAAGAAAAAAAAAGTTTTATTTTTAATATGCCCTATGAGGCAAAGAGAATGTAATCACTGATCATTGCGAGCGTTGATTTTGAGGATTAAGAAATTTCCTCAAACCAATCTAATACTTAGTCTTGGAAAATTATTTTTTTGTTGTGAGTATTTACATATTGTGTATTGTCATGGTTATTGCAAGTAATTGCCAAGTCAAAAAGTGCGAAACCAGTAGCATAATATTAAACCAAATGTGTTAAACTCTGACGTTTAATTTTCATACAAATTGGCCGAAGATAGGATGATCCCTTGCCTTTGCTTCTTTTTTAAAAGATGTGACTGAATTTATTAAATTTGGCTGCGGTGTTTGGCGGGTTGACTACTAAAACTAATTCAATTTAAATATTATATTTTCTTTGTAATGTATTTATATATTATAAGTTTTTTGTAAGTTAACCGCTTAGTTAACTTTCTGTGAAAATGACTTATTCCAGATATTTACGCCATGGAACATGAAGATGATATGTTATTAGTTATAATTGCCAACGAAAATAGCGTTGATACAGAAATTAAAACTGAAGTGACAGACGAAGAAATTAATGAGTTGACTGTAAGAGATGTTATTGATACTGCTATAACTTATGGCGAATTAATAGACTTAGAAGAAACCTTCATAAAGGAAGAACCACCAGACACTGACTCAGAAAATGTTGAAGAACCTCTAAAAAAAAATATCAAATCCAAATATGGTAAGATTGACACAGAAAACATCAATAATGACACAGAAAACATCAATGATGACACAGAAAATATCAATGATGACACAGAAAACATTGAGATTGACACAAAAAACAAGGATGATTTTGAATACAGTGGGGATGACACAGAATATCTACCAGAGGAGAACCAAACAAGTGATAACAGTGATAGTGAGGAAAAAGAGAAACATAGATATACCATGGCAAAACCTTGGGAACGAAAGTCTTTTATTAATGATTTAAGGCAACAATATCCTGAAATTAGACGAAATAAAAATAAACTAATTAAAACACTTTCAGAGATAATGAAAAATGTTAAACCACCAGCACCACCTTTAGATTACTATCTTATGAATGGTATTATGCTAGAGTGAGTATGGTTATAACTCAACAAAACCAGTCTTACGAGTTGCCATTTATTTATTTGTTGTTATTATTTTTTAGTTTTCTAATCATGTTTATTGTTTTTTAGGTGCATTTATTGCCATAGCTTGTCAGAAACTATCCCAGCAGCAGGTCGCCACTATCAAGAGAAGCATGGACCTCGTTATCTGATCTGTTACGCTTGTGGAGTTGACTTTAGAAGGTTTGTAGTCATAAATAGTACAAAGTGTTGTATGTTCAATAATCACGTTGAGTACATATTGCAACAATAACTTTCACCATACCATAATCTGCTTACATGGAGCTCATCCTGCTTTTTAATGAAACAGGCTTAGGTGATGTAGATCTTATTAGAGAAAAGCCATCAGTGTAGATAGCCACATGGGCAGAACAGACTCATGGTACCTGTTAAGCTATATAGCCCTATAGTGTAAACATTAATTCAGTTTTGTTAAATATAAATTGAGAAAATTAAGAATTATAATTACAGTAAAGCTAAAAATTACATCTGCAGTTTCAGTATCTACAGAAGAAACAAGTGGTAAAATTAAAAGTTTTGTATAACCAACTTCAATATAAAGAAAATGAGAACATCACCAATGATGTTGAAATCAATTAAATATGCATTATTACAGATAACTTAAAAACTACTGGTCAGATCTTGATCAAATTTATATAGGACAACATGAGAAGCACCAGCTTTCAAATTAAAAAATGATCATTAAAATCAGTTCACCTAGAAAAAGTTCTGAGGTAACACACAAAAAAAAGCAGTCAAATTGAGAACCTATTCCTTTTTTGAAGTCAGTTGTAAAATTGAAAATATCGTTATTTGCAGATACATAACTTATAATTATATATATATACGGTTAGTTTTTAAAGACCAGCCAAATTTAATAAACCTAGCAAGCTAACAGCATAGCAAAGTGGCGAAGCAATCAGCTTTGTAGCAGTTTCTAACGGTTGCTGTTGAGCAATCAGTTTCAAAATAGGAGGTTCAGATGCCTGGGTGATCAGTAATCGATTGCTGAAAACAGAATTTGAAAATTCGAAACCGTTCTCGAGATAATCATGGGACAGACGAACAGACATTGTGAAATCAATAAGTGACTTTGCAAGCTTCGCCACTTAATAATTAAGTTCAAAATATAAATACTGACTTACCACTTTTTGCACTTTTTAAAAATATATGTAAATAACGTTTCTACATTTATTAGAAAATATCCGAAATTGAATGTGATTTAAGTGCAATAACAGCACACCTTTGCCTACTATTTACTTCCTTAATGACAAGCTCAATACTATGATTCCAATTTTCCCTTCATACTTTAAACAGGCTTAGGTACATTTAATAAATATATTTTTTTTTATATTTTAATGGCATGTGGGATGGATGGATGCTATGTAAATAAAAATTCTACACTCCACATATAATATGTTTATTAACATAATTTTACTATTTAAATATGGAATCACTTAAAATGACACTAACCATTCACAAAAATGTTTTCGAGGTGGACCATCGTTATTATTCAGTGCTTGTATACTTTGGTAATGTAATGAGTGATATCCAGAAGAATTTAGTAGTATCCACACATACTGGCTAACTCTGAAGCTCTGAACTCAAGCTGCATTGTTGGTGCGGAGGTTTCTTTGATTCCATCACTGTTTTTGACGGCTTACTGAATGACCACCTCGAGCACTTCCATGTGACAGAGTAGTGAACTGTCCAAAGTCTAACAGCCTTTGGTTAGCTGCAAAAAATTTTCTCCAATTGGTGGTACACATGTGTTAATTCTTTGTTGTTGCAAACACGTTAAACACTGTAATACTGCACCATTTCATAGTAACTGCGGTTCAAATATTTTGTTACGTCATTGGTAACAAAGCATACGTAATGAGCTCACGGTCAACACTGTCATCTGTTGGCTTGGCTGGGCGAGCGGACGCAGGTACTTAGTGATGTAATGGTAAATAAACAGTTAATGTTAGATATTTATGAATGGAAGTCAGTTAAAATAATGCATTATCACTTATTTTGAATTTAAGAGATAATAATGATAATGTTTGAGATTTTATTAAATTAATTTTTCTTCACCATTTGCGTATATTTTTTTCACTTATACTGAATCTTCTCTGCAAATTTTGCCAGTGATTGCAAAATAACCCTGTATACATAACTTATAATTTAAAAAGAGATAACACTATTTGTTAATTTTTTTTTTTATTTTTACAATTGAACAAATAGTATTAACACTTATTTTATGTGACATTAAAATAAACAGGTAGGCGTCAAAATAAATACATAAGAAATTAAATATTGTTGGTGTTAAGCTTAAAGTTCTATGATAAATGTTGATAACTTCACCTGGTGGTGCTGCATCTAAGCTTTAGTGTGCTGCCATATAAGTTGTACAAGTTGCTAATGAAAAAGAATAGGTTGGTATGGAACAGATAGATCTAAGTGATGTTCAAGAGCTGCTTCAAACATATGATGAGGATTTAAATGAAATCGACTTGGAGGAAATGTTAAAACCCTACCCATTGAAGAGGAAGTTTCAACTGGCAATGATAAGATGACACTCACCTTGAAAGACCTGACCGAAGGTTTACAAATGGAAAATTGACTGTGTGGTCTCTTCAATAAATTTGACTTGTTGGAGAGAAGTATTTTTTTTAAAAGGTCTAAAACTAAGTGGGATATAGAAAAATTTTATTCTTACCTTTCGGTGTATCTCGTTGACATTTATGCTATTCCACTTTCAAATCGTGGCACCGTAGGAACCGTAGAAGCCCCTACCCCACGAATGAGCTTTTTTTGTTTAATAATCATTCTATTAATATTTTTTATATATAATAATATATCGATGCAAGATTATAGTAATGTTTATTTATTTTTATAACTACTTATTGCATCTGAACCTGATAAGATTATATATGGATGTAAGATTATAGTAATGTTTATTTATTTTTATAACTACTTATTGCATCTGAACCTGATAAGATTATTACTAATATATCCCATACTAATCTATTTAATAACAAATATTTAAAAAGAATTAAAAATAATAATATATTTGCAAATAAATTTCATAAGCTTTATTTGCTATTATTAAGTGGCGAAGCTTGCGAAGTCACTTATTGATTTCACGATGTCTGTCCGTCTGTCTGTCTGTCCCACGATTATCTCGAGAACGGTTTTGAATTTTCAAATTCTGTTTTCAGCAATCGATTGATTGCTGAAAACAGAATTTGAAAATCGATTGATTGCTCAACGGCAACCGTTAGAAACCGCTATAAAGCTGATTGCTTCGCCATTTTGCTATGCTGTTAGCTTGCTAGGTTTATTACATATCTCATACATTATTTAAATATCTCATCTTGTTGGGCTGTATAAATATATAAAAGAAAATTATGAATATAAGTAAAAACTCGAAAAGATAGAAGCTTTCGGCAAGGAGATAAAATGGCCGAGGGTTAGGGGGAAAGAGAAAGAAACCGGCGAACAAGGAGGCTGTATTGATGGGTACCGTCTTCTGCAATTTGCAATTATTATTGTTGTGTAACCTATCTCTAGGGTACTACTGATCATTTCTTTTTCCCAAACAACAACAATGCACATCACATATAGATTAATGGTAGTTTGTCAGTGAAGATCAGAAAATAAAGGGTGATGCACTGGCAGTGTGTAATATTACATGGATGATTTCAAGCTTTTTTGACTCACTCCACCTCCCTATAACTCAATAACTATTAGTTTTAAAAAATACTTTTTGAAAGTTAAGGAAGCTAGACCATCGCTTTATCTATTCCCTACTGTAGAATTCCTTGTGAAAAGAAGCGGCAAGAATTTCACAAGTAGACAATGTTTTTTCCAATAATTTTAATGCTTAATTATTGACGATAAATATTGTATAACAACTACTTTGCATACTCTGTGCAGTTCGGTCCAACTTGAGAGATAGGACAGTTTTTATCTTGATAAGTGACACTCAATATTTTTTTTATTAAGAATTTAAGGATTTTTTATATGAAGGGTCGTCGAAAAGGGCAGAACAACGTCTGCCTGGCCAGCTGGTATATATATAATATGTATTTAAAAAAAATTATAAGATTTTATTTGTCTATTGTTTCAGTACTACAAATCTTTATAAGCATGAGAAGCGATGCGTCGCCCCTGATGCGGACATAGTTTTGGCGGCAAGGGCATTATGCTTGGGTAGAAACGGTCCGAAACGGCCCTATCCACCAATATTTGCATCAAATCCACGGAAGTATGATCATCTCATTATTTAATTCTTTGTGTAGTGATTTGTTTATTAGTTTTTAATTTATATTATTTATGTTTTATTGATAAGGAGAAATGGCATTAAATGGGTGTTGCAGACTTTGAAAAGTTGTATTGGGAATAAATACAATCAACTATATAAAGTATATATATGTGTCGGAAATACATTAAAGAAACATTTGTTAAAAAGTAGTAAGACTGTGGGAGTGGATGTTCAACTTGCTCTCTTGCTTACGAAATTAATCATTATCAATTATAAAACAGTATACTGCACACCGCAGTGATAAATTTCGACCATAGCGTAATGGTAATCAAACATTAATGTAACATGATAATTACATAATAACACCAATATAAATAAAGAATGCAAACAAACAGCAATACTGCTTTCCTCAATGTGACACAGTCCGGCTTCTCTGCAACACATCTTCTTTGTTTGTACTAAAAGAATTAACCACAATGGAAAGAACAACAACACTTATTAAGACTTATAAAAAGAATGAATGAATGAATATACTTTATTGTACACCACAAACAAATCTATATCTATACTAATATAATAAAGCGGACGAGTTTTTTGTTTTTTTGTTTGTTTAAACGCGCTTATCTCTGGAACTACCAGCCCGATTTGAAAAATTCTTTTTGTATATTATAGCCAGATTCATGTGGAATAGTATAGGCTATCTAGCATTAAGCTAAATCACTCAGCTAGCCTTAAATATGGATATTTGTTAAGCAAGTCAGAAGAAAAAGCACTCCCGAAATGATTTATCCGCGTACGCTTGTGTTATCGTTAGGGATACGTAAATACAATGTTCTAGGAAAATATAGACCTTTACTCCGTCTAAAAAAAAGTCCGCGATACCATATGTCTATTTCTTATACATAAGCCATAATTTGGTATTTTGTGACAAAAAATATTGAAAATTTAAAAGTGATTTATGAGCGTTATTATTAGGCATGGCCTATTTATCCTTACGAACGAAAGTTACTTCATCATCAAGACAATTTTATGAAGATAAACTTTGTTCTTTATACCATGTTATTTGAACGCATAGTTTAAGAGATAATGTAAAATTAAAATAATTCAATACTTGGCTGGGCGCGCGAACGACCCTTAAACCCTAGCCGTTATAAAATGCTTGAACTAGGTCATGTCGCGCACCTCGGACAAATGATGACGCGGGTGAAACCGCGAGGCACAGCAAGTATACAAATAACATAACAAAAATTCGATTATATGTACAATTTGGCGGCCTTATCGCTACATAGCGATCTCTTCCAGGCAACCAAAGATGTAAAAGAATAAAACAATGAATACTAGGTAGGTGGTGCAATATAAATATACGTAATATAATATCAATACATGTGATATATAGACAATACATGCAATAAAATAACATATAAATAACTAATACATGAAATAATATAAATTACTAATACATAATAAGAGATAAAGTCAAACGCAAGAATTCGTAAGTTCATAGTTGTCGAATACTTTTCGTACATCTCATTTAGTTGCCTGTAATCATTGAGTTATATAAGACTAGAGGAGCAAACCACATTACAGCGCGTCGAAAAAAGTGAAACCACTATCTAACCGCGAGGACGTAGCTTTGAAACCACTAAACCTTTTAAAGTAAACATATATTTGTCTCACACAAGTTGCGAAAACAATACCGTCGATATTGCCTACTATATGAAATTTTATCCAAAATTATTTTTATTTTAAAGAAAGTTATTTTTTTTTCGAAGTATCTTTTATTGTAGGCCTTTTAATAATGCATATTATTAGATATATACCACACTGTGCAGGTGAGTTGATGAGTGCAGAGATCATAGCCTAGCTCTATACTGACAAATGACATTGTATATCTTACAATGTCATTTGTCAGTTGCCCAAACCTTGTTTTTTGGGTCGTTAAAAGCTAGATTTAAAAAAAAAAATATTTAAAAAAAACATGCCTGAGTGTCGTGGAACACTGGGTTGGAACGAAGTTCCTTTCGTAGTAAGAGGGGCGGCTGATAAATCCGCGGCCTAAGGTACTTAATGAAAGAAAATATATGGTTTCTATTTTTTAATATAATCTCCCTCAATTGAAATACATTTCTCACATCTCGCATAAAATGCCTTTAACCTACCCAAAAAATATTCTGTATTTCAAAAAGACGATTAATCGCAGTTTTCATTTCGTTGTCATCTGCAAATCTCTGGCCCCGTAAGTCCTTTTTCAAATTGGTAAACAGGAAAAAATCGCTAGGTCTGGACTATATGGAGGGTGGTCAACCTCTGAAAACCCCGTGTCTTTCAGGGCTTGCCTTGTAACATGTGCGGTGTGAACGGGCGCGTTGTCTTACAGAAAGAGCAATCGGCGCGTCAGTTTCTCACATCATTTCTGTACAACAGCCTCGTGAACCGGAGTCAATAAATTGGCGTAATATTGGCCATTCATCGTAGTTCCCCTGGTAGTCGATAAGCAAAATTCCCTCGCCATCCCAGAAAATAGTCGCTATAAGCTTGGACGCCGACTTTTCCAGCTTTAATTTCTTCAGCTTCCTTTCTCCTTTTTTTATCCATTGCATGGACTCCAGATCATATTGGCGAATCCATGTTTTATCTACGGTGATTATCCTTTGCCAAATGTCACATACTACTACAGACTACATATCAACAACGAAAAAATCTTTGCATCTTGCGAGTCGACGTTGCTTGTTGAGCGGTGTGAGCATTTTAGGTACCCAGCGCGTGCAAATTTTTCTCATATTCAAATGTTCATGTAAAATTTCTCCAACTCGTTCTTTGCTAATTTGCAGTTCTTCAGCAATCTGCCACAATTTAATCCTTCGATCGGCTAGAACGATTTTTTCGACTTTTCGGACGTTTTCTTCGGTCAGTACCGTGACAGGGCGGCGCGGGCGAGGGTCGTCTTCACAGCTCTCTCATCCTTGTTGAAATATGCGGGCTCATTTTTCACCATCGTATATGTAGGCGCAGAATCCTGAAGAACCGACGACATCTCGTCAAAAATATCTTTCGGTGTATTTCCCTTCTTTACGAGGAATTTTATCATGGCGCGGTATTCAAAATTCAGAGAATTTCATGATTCGGCTGACATGGTGATGTTTGTTGTTCAATAAATAATTGAAATGTGAGTGCAAACTTAATTAGTGATTGCTTTTATAATACTACTGAGTGTTATAACATGAGTAACAAGCTAATTACTCACGTTAAGTACCCTATGCCGCGAACTTTCCAGCCGCCCTGGTGTATTATTATTAATAAACGTATTATATTATTCATTAACAAATACAAATAAATGCATTACTAGCGTCTATTAAAGTGAACCGTCATTAAAAATAATATTTCTTTCATGGCAAGATAAGAAAAATTGCGAGGGAGAAGGATATTTTTTCCATTTCGCTCGCACTATAGAAAGGGGGTCGTGACGGAAAAATCTTACACTTTTTCTCACCTAGCCCCCATCCGTCAAATTCGTACCGTGCGATAAGGAACTTCGTTCTCCTGTATTGTGAGTGTAATGTTGGAAAGGTGTCAATGAGAAGAGAAGTGTTGTTTCTTCTATATCATTAATTACACTACTCCATAACAGCTACAATTAACATTAATATATAACTCGTGTGGGCTATTCTACATTACACCTCCCACCAACTAAAAATATAAAAAAAGAAGTGAACGCATTTTTCTTTATAAACTATAAAATTTATAAAAATATTATGTATAAAAAGAATATAATTTACAAAAATGGCAATAAGATCGAGGTATTCTATAGGCAAGCTGTTTACCTTCAGAAATTGCACAAGGACAAACATTCAGACCTGGAACAATTACTTGTAGGCCATATAAATACTTGTTCCGTACGGAATTCTAACCCGCAGCCCTCAGCGCTATAACTCATAGCTAAGTCACCGGGCCGCCTGTTTTCACAGTGCCTTCTGGTTTTATTTCTAGGTTCACCTGTGAGAAGTGTTCAGCTGAGTTCACATCTAAAAATAACCTCATGTTCCATGAGCATTTACATCTGGGGATTCGTCCCTACCGTTGCCATTTTTGCCCATCTGCTTACACATCAAGAACTGCGCTAGTGGTACGTAACATATTTCACTGTTTTCATTATTATCAGTTTTGTTATACAACATTTTCTTTTCTTTTACTTCTTTTTTTTAAAAAACGTTCCCACGTACCCCCACTTTAGGATTTTCTTCTGTATCATGGAGGCAGTTTACAAACAGAAATTGCACCAAGAGAAATACTCAGACCCGGAACATTTATTTGTAGACCATACAAATACTTGTTCCATGCGGGATTTGTACCCGAGTATCACCCGAGCAACTTAATGCTAAGCCTCTGCCGTCAAGTTATTATAATGATCTTTAACATATTATTTTTTCGTTTATTGCGGCATTGGTTGCAATTAAGAATCAAAATGGAGATGCATTGTCATTCATAAAAACTAGAATGGAATGCCTTGTTTCCAGTAAAAAGGGTCTCCTGCTCCCATACGAAACACAGCAGCACTGTTGGAGTGAACCGAATACCCTTTTTACTAGAAACTAGGCATTCCAACTTAGTCTTCAAGAGTGGCAATGCAATTGCATTTAGATTTTTAATCGAGGTACATATCTAATTGTTCCAGCATCCACTTACCATCAGTTGGACTGTGTACCCCCGCTTGTCACTTTTATTCTATAAAACCTATCCAGGTTCGAAAAATATCTTTTGTTAAATTAGTCAACGTAGGATTGTTCGAAAATAAAATAATTGAAATAAACTCACACCTTCACTTTGGGGACGACTGCTATTCGTAACAGCCGTAACTTAATTACAATTTTAAGTTGAGCGTGCTGTATCTCCGAGTGATGATGCCTGCCTTTAGCCACAAAGGAAAGAAATAATAATTTTGAATTTTTTGATGACAATATAATTCCAGGATTCCAGAATGGACACAATACCTTAAGGTTTTTATCACTAATGTCATAATTTCAGCAAGCATCTATTGACTAGTTCCTGCTAAAACCATTTTTGGCGTGTAATGTTTCTCAGACAAAGTATCTAACAGTTCATCACAATCATTACAGCCTTTCACTAGTCCACTTCTGAACATAGGCCTCCCCCAAGAAATGCTACAAACATGGTCCTGAGCCTGCATCCACCGACTTACCGCATACGACGTCATTAAAAGTTAAATTAATTAAAATAACTACTAATTCTAATAACTCTTGGTAATATTAAACTTGAATACAACTTTCCAAATTATCTTACACATTTTTGTATTTGATTAACTTATAGATTTTATTTACAGCGCCACATTAAAAAGCACAGCAACGTCGAGTACATATGCGACCACTGCCAGCGCTCGTTCAAAGTGAAGGCGGCGCTAGTGACGCACTTGAACACTCACAGGCGTAAGTTATCAGTTCTTTTTTTATAAATATAAATAACGAGGATAGTTAAGTTCAGCGCATTTTTTATGTACTCTTGAATGTGTCAATTTCAAAAGATGTGTTAACAAATTTTATATAAGTAAGTAACTACAAACTAACCATCGTAAAATAGCAGCTTAGTTCTGTTTCGAGAGTGAGTGTAGAGAAGAGATTACATATGTAGGTGTTTATAGGCCACAGCATCCACTTACTGTGCTGGTTTGTTACCATTATTCTATAAAAAAACCCGACTGCTTTGATTTATAATAACTATTAAAACTACACATGCCTCAGAATGTGCTTCCAGCAAGGCCCATATTATCGCATTTTGTTAAAATTGCATGTTGCACTCAGGAGATGATGGCGATCTCAATTCAAGATCTGTAAAGTTGTTAAGTTTAAAGGACTCACAAAAGAACATATGAACATAAGTACAAATATTACCTTCACCCTCAGAAAAGTTAATAAATCTTCGTCTACATTTGAAGTTTTTGTCCACTGATTTATGATAATGTATAACAATCATCATCACCAATTGTTTTAAGTTCACTATTGGACATGGCGTTTCTTTTTTTTTTATCTAGCAGGAGGCAAATAAGCATACGGCTCACCTGATGAAAAGTAATTATTATATTAGTAACTATTACACCGCAGTTTCTAAGAATAGTTCACCGATAGGACCAGTCTCGTCATTCTGGTTTATTATTATGGTTGAATTTTCTTTTCTCAGACGATCTTTAGCGGGGTGTATCGTGTACGTTAAAGTTAATTGAAGAAAATGTTCATAGTATATCATTCCTTTTAACGCATCAAACAAAAAGTACAATCAGTTGGTGACCGATGTCACCAACGCTTTAGTTTTCCTTAACTTTTTCTTCATCAGTCCTAAAAAATCAGATTTTGGGTCTCTATCGTTGTAGGGAGGATTAATTTTTTGATTGAGCCTTCTTTGTTAAGTTTGGTACGTGGATTGACGATCGTTGGCTACCTGTCACCAGTTTCGGTATTTAAAGTCTGCCGTAAACGAGATGGTTAACCACCAACCACCATAAGATATTTTTGGCATTTCCTATATATAGTCACATTACGACACCCACGGGACGAAATACGATGTTGGATACTCCTATGCGTGCCACGCGACATTTTCAGAAATAAAGGATTAGTGCGGTGAATCAGAATCGTGTCAAATGGAAATCCGAGGTTTCTGCCTAACCCTCTGGGTTACAAGCGTGATTAATTGTGTAAGTTTACGTTTATGTTATGTTTAAACGGGTTAAATTAAACAATGTGTGTATTGTTCACAGCGGAAAAGCGGTTCGCGTGCAACGAATGTGACAAGAGGTACGCGCAGAAGTTCGCGTTACAGCTGCACGTGGACAGCTGCCACCGCAACTTGCCGCCGCACCTGCCCTGCCACCTCTGCGACAAGAGGTCTGACACGCGCGCGCACGCACGCACACACATTCACACACACACACACACACACACGAACCCACACACACACGCACACACAAACACACACACGAACACACACACACACACACACACACACACACACACACACACACACACACACGCGCACAAACACACACGCGCTCACACACATACGTAAACGTACGCATACTCATTCAACCTTAGTACGTAACTGTGCACAATGCGACACTGTGTATTTAAACCTTAAATTAATAGACTTAATCACGTCTATCAAAGCTTCTGAACGAGCATAATACCCCGCAGAGTATCGGGTGGCCCCCGGGATTAGCATCTCACTTGATGGGAGATCTTTTTCCACCGACAGCCAAATTGGTGATACTGACGCTCTTTTACGTTTTTTTTTTAATGTAACATAGGGGTGCCAAACAAGTACTCAGTACACCTGCACGGCTAGTATGGGCTGGGGACAAAAATTTTATCCCCTGATTATATCCATTAACAAGAGATAAAATTATCTGCTCCCTATGCCAAAGGACGGCAACGAGGAGAAGTATATCCCCGTTTGACTTAACGAGTAGACACCCCCCCCCCCCCCCCCGTCCTTTTTGATATTTGAAAGGGATAATTCTATCCTAGTTCATTGGACGTGGGTTTAAGTTTATATTCATACAAAAAATCTTTTTTTTAAAGAAACTCAGCTGTAAATTAGTTTTCCTTACCTGTATAAAATTTTTTTTGTGCACCCCAAGGCTTTCCTCAAGCCTGTTACTTAAGATTCTATTTTGAGTGAAACGGAGGGAACCAGTTAAGGAAGTGTGAGCAAGACAGAAATCCTCTTTTCAGGAGGTGGTCTTACCATAGTAATGTTGACTCAGTCTATTTGCTTTAAAATTAGGATTATCGTTCTTTTTTAGAAACGTTTTAAATTAATAAAGTAAACATCGATTATTTGAATGCTAAAATATATTATACTCACAAAATGTCTTAAATTAAACAAACAAAATGCCTTAATTAAAAATCAAGGATGGAACATTTACAGCAAATGCTCAAACTGCCTTCCTTCACTGCGATGCACGCTCAGCATCTTCTTAAAAAGGATCGGGTTATCAAACGAGCGAATTCCGCTTCCGTTAGTCTTTGCCGTAACTCAGCTACATTTTCAATAGGTTTTAAATAAACTTTTTCTTTGACGGCTCGCCTGTAAAAAAATCTAATGGATTCAAATCTGGTGAACGGGTTGGCCACGAGATTGTATCAGACCGCCCTATCCATCTGTTTGGGTATTCTTCATCGAGATATTCTCACTGAGCGGGCGTAATGCGCTAGGCAACCATCTTGTTGAAACCACATGTCCCTGTAGATGCTTAGTGTCACGTCCTCCAATAAATTTGATAAATGATTTTGTAGGAAATCCAAATACACTGCACTAGTCAAAATCTGTGGCAGCTCAAAAGGTCTCTTCAAAATTCCGGTCCAAACATTAATCTTATAGCGATACTGTGATCTATCTTCTCTCATCAAATTTGGATTTTAGCTCGTGTAAGTTATGCAGATTCATGTATCCATCTTTTTTAAATGTGGACTCATCCGACCATAACATTTTTCCATCTTCATTGTTTCTTTCTAGCATTGTTTGACAAAAAGCAACCCGAGGCATGAGCCTCGGGGAAGAAGAGTTTGTACTCAGTGTACGTGATATGGGTCAACCTCATTTTTTTGCAATATCCTTGGGCACTCCAGTTCTTAATTCTATTGCACGCACTGAAGTACTCGGGTCTTCTTTGACAGCTTCTAGCACAACGTCGTCGTAAGGTAGGGAAGGTCTCCCCTCACCATGTGCTTGTTTTTGGAGTCGGCCTTCTGGGAAGAGTAAACGGTGCACATTTAAAAAAAACTCGATGATCCGGATGACGAGCAGCATTTGGGTATTTCTCACGATAAAGTCTAACTGCAGCGCTAGCGTTGCATCTGCATTCCCCATAAATGAGGTGCATGTGCTAACATATATATGCTAATATTTTTGTGTGGTGTACACAGACATGGTGGCACTGCACAATCACACTATCAACGATAGTCCACGTGAAAGCAAAGGTAAAAAAAGAGAAAATAAACAGTCCAAATCCAAATCACAAGCAATCAAGTCCAATAAACGAAGCTAAATGTGTTTAGTACGAAATCAACACGAACGAATACAGAAAGATGCGCAGTAAACGAAGGAGCGTAACGTACTGAACTTAATTGAGTGTGCGACAGCGAAAAAGTAGCGTCACTATTTGTCTTTCTCAATCTACGTAAAATTACTCTCTCCGTCTTTGTCACGTTAGCGTCACTATGTCAGCTCTCACTTCGTCAACTGGTTCCCTTCGTTTCAGTCAAACTAGAATCTTAAGTAACAGACTTAAGGAAAGCCTTGGGGTACACAATAATAATTTTAGACAGGTAAGGAAAATTACATTTACAGCTGGGTTTCTTAAAAAAATTTTTTTCCATAATTTAACAAATAATCTTGCAAGTGTTATAACCATTTTGGAATCCTTATTAAATGCGCCAACTTTTAAAGTTACTTGCCAAACTCTTGTAGTACATTTTTTTTCAGTACAGTCATTTAAAACTGGGCATAGTATTAATTTTGAATTCTTGGTTGGGAAAAAAATTACATTTCTTTCTGGATTGGAGCAGTTGGCTGTAAATTTTAAGCAACAGTTTTCAGAAGCATCATTCAGGATTACAGAATAAAAAGAAAATAAAAAATGTTAAAATTTGTAGCAACAGGAGTTAAAAGACCGTCACAGGTTGTAGATTTTCTCAATTTTTTATAAATGTCTGTAATATTTAAAATACATAGCAAAGATTTTTTTATGTTTTTCTGTTAATTATTATGACTTGACCTATCACCCTATTCCAGCTCGACGTCGACTTCTGGGACAGCCTGTACATAATTTAACCGATTCAGTGCAGATTAATTTCAGTCGTGTCATTTTAAAAATCTTTATAACTAGTTCAATTTGTGTTTTTGGAAGATTTATCCAGAACAAATTATTCGTTATTTTGCAAGTAGTTCCTGTTTACAGGGGGTTGACAACCTTTTTTTTAACTTGAACATGGTATTTTTTTTACTGTGTGGGTTTGTCTCTTTTTACTGTGTGGGTTTTTTAAATCATGTGGAAGAATACTCTAATAAGTAACAAATAATAGCACTCATTGCGATCGCTCACAAACTCAAGTTGTAAATAAGTTTCTGGAAAACAAGTCTCGTGTTAAAAAAAAAAACAATGCGTTTGTGTTATTGTTAAATTTTGCTTAAAATGGTTGCCTTCTTATTACTATCATATGGCCGAATGGACCTACAAAGTGCCATATGCTCTTGTGATATGGTAAAAGGTTTATTTTTGCTTGAAACAGTTCGAACGCGTTCATGCATAAAAAAGTTCGCTAATAAATAATAAAGAGTTTTTTGTTCATCCGCCGCCGTACAGCGCCGGCGCATCTGGCTACTGTTTTTTCCTTTTGAAAACACTTGTTTTGCTATTCTTACTAATTATACGTTTTCAGATCGACTTTACGTTTACATTTGTATAACATTAAATAATATATAACATTTGTAAATATCAATGAATCACAAACCTTATTTTTTCGAAATTAAGGTTTTTCATTATTTGATTCCAGTCCAGTAGCTTTACAAACGTTATTATTTGGTGAAAATTAAATTTAATAAAAACCAAGGTATTTCAGGGTGATTTAGCTGTACCTACTTTTATAAATGATTTTTTTATAAAACAAAAAATAGCACAAAAGGTTTGTAATCTCTGCATAAAAAGGTCACTTACTCTCCATTTCAAAGAAAACACGTGTAAAAACAAGTAGTTAGCCACTAAAAACAAGTATCCTTCCGTTTGCAACTGATGTTTGGGTGTCAAGTAAACTTAATCAGGTCTAAACAAGTGAAAAAACCTTAAAAAAGAACATTTTTACACATCGTTGATGGCACAATAGGCGTGTCATCAACTTCATGGCGTGTCACGAAATATTTGTTCGCCGCCACAGCTAAAAGTTGTCGAAAATTGGTGTCGGTTAATATATTCATAAAATTTCAGGTTCCGTCGGACTTCGGTCCTCAAGGAGCACATGAAGAAAGCGCATGGAATGGAACTGATAACACGCAAGGTGAATATTTATTTTGTCTTAAATGTTGTTCAAACACTGACATTGTTGTTCCTGTTATACTCCACTAATAAATGCTGGCATCTTGCTTCAAAGTTTAAAAAAATTGCGAACCAAAATCAGGAGCTTAGGTATCTATATAATCATCATTCATCAGTACAGCCCTTCACAAGTCCACTGCTGAACATAGGCCTCCCCCAAGGAATGCCACAAAGCACGGTCCTGAGCCACCTGCATCCATCGACCTACACTTCGCTTACCGGTACGAGGCTGCCACTCGAGAACCTTTCTTCCCCATCGGTTGTCGGTTCTTCGAGCTATATGGCCGGCCCACTGCCTCTTGAGCTTACTAATCCGTTACTAATCCTCATATATTTCCTCCACCTCCTCATCGGGATGTGCCGAGGTTGGTGCGTAAATCTGTATGACCTTCAGCGAATACCGTTTGGTGATTCCGAGTATAAGGTACGCAACCGATACACTCCCAATCTTTACAACGTTGTTAACGAGAGACTTGTGGATGATAAATCCGACACCTTCTTGGGACAGATGGTCGCCCTCGCGGTGGTAGAGCAAGTTGCCGGATTCGAGGATTACTGTGTCCTCCCCCTCTCTTCGGACCTCGGATAATCCTATAATATGCCAGCGTAACTTGTCTATCTCTTCCAGCTCCACGATCTTCTCGTTAGCCCTCAGGGTGCGTGCGTTTATGTTGCCAGGTCGAGTTGTCTTAGGTCGTAACCGAACCTCCACCGGAGATTCTTAGCACCCCCTGCCCCGCCGTTACCATGGTCGCCACCGTAGCCAGGAATAGCGGGGCTGCCGGGGACTGGGGGCCGTCTCTTTGTTGCTCTAATCTTTGGGGGGTATTTGCAATAGTTACCACGCTTGGCGAGCGGGTTGGCAACCGCAGTTTTTTTTATTGTACTTTTGCTGTTATCAGGAAGATGCTGCTGCCCATCTCCTGCCTGTTTCCCTTTGTCGCCTTTTACGACACCCACGGGAAGATATGGGGTAGTGGATATTCTTAACCGCCACTGCACGGCACTATATAATGAGATTGTGTAATACAAGTAATATTATAATATTGCCTTACCCAATCATATTTTGTAGAAATATTACAGAATTTTATAGATGTAATAAAAAAAATTGGTTGAGCCACACTTTAACTATAAAATTAAGGCTGCAGAATGAATAGTTCGGCTCGAGGAAGGACCACGCTTGCGTAAAATATCAGCGTAAAATATCGGTTTTAACTGCTAACAGCTGCATTGTGTTTCATGTGGTGAGTGAAGAGACCTGGAGACCCATTTTGTTATATATTTATAATTTTAGTCCTCAGGGGTGAGAAAGTGTCTTTATTTAGATTCTTAATCAATGATCGATGTAGGTTTTTCCAACATCAACTTACCAACTGTGTGCTTGTTTGTTACACCTCCATCCATTACAGCCTATAAAAGTCCACTGCTGAACATAGGCCTCCCCCATGAACTGCCTCAATGGATTTTACCACGCTTGGCAGGCCGGTTGGCAACCGCAGTGTTTTTAAATTTTGATTTGTCATCAGGAAGATGCTGCCGCCCATTTTCTGTTTGAGTTTCCCTCTGTCACCTCATACGACGCCCACGGAACTATATGGAGTAGTGGCTGTTCTTATAACGGTTTCTTGTCACTCTCATTTTTATAAAAAAAGATATCTTTACAATGAGAAGTTTGTTTTCTCTTAATGTTAATCTCACCTGCACGCGGTTTGAGTATTGACAGATTGAGAACATAATGATTGTAAATTTATCATACTTTCTCTTCAGTTTTGATTTAAGCCCGCCACATACATTCGGATAAAATCAAGGACCTATCACACACCTACAGTAGTTTGCCGTTCGAATTTTTGCGGGTAAATCGGGATTCCGAATGTATGTGGCAAACCCGTTCGGTATTCCGTAAGTATGTGGCCGGACTAACTATTAACATTTTTTTTTTACAGATGTTCTACAAAACTCTTCCACATCTAACAGATACGCAAATTAAAAACGCTAAGATTGTGCGCAAGAGTAAAGACGGGATTGTAGTTGAAGGACAAAGTGATGATAAAGGAAATGATGAGTAGAATGGAAGATAATTATGATGAAGTTTCTATACAGAGAATAATAAAAATGCTTTGAGGGAAGTTTGATTAATTACCATTGTTAATTGTTATTTATTAAGCCATAAGAAACGGGTTGTTCCTGTTGCTCCTCGTGGGCGCACCAAGTGAATGAAGCTTAAAGTTGCCAACATTTTAATATGAAGCTAACTACAACTACTACCAGGTGTTCCCCGCGACTTCATCCGCGTGATATTTATTAAGATTGGATTTCATGGGTTTTCATTTTTTTTTGCACGGAACCTTCTTTTCTATAATTAAAAATTAAAAAATTTGTACAACCCACTTCAATATAAATAATTAAGAATAACTCAAAGAGTACTGGTCAGACCTTGATGAAATTTATATTGGACCACATGAGAAGCACCAGCCTTAAGCCTAAGTTAATTACAATATCAGCTGTCTGACAGTAAAAGTCCCGTTAAAATCTGTCCAACCATTTCGGAGATTATTAGCCCGAACAAACAGACAGACTAAAATATTAATAATTGTTTTTTGCTTACCGTATACACTTTCATATGCATTTAGTAAAAAGCTCTTATTTTGACATTACAAACAGACACATCATTTTTATTTATTTGTATAGATATTATTTTCGAGGTTATACCTGTAAAAATAGAGTAGTTGGCGAAATAATAAAACACATAATATATTATGTTTCAAATGATTATCTTATTTTTAGAGGAATATTTTTTGCTGTTTTTTGAGCCTTTATTAACAGCCACTCACCATTGTCAGCTATCATTTAAATACAGCAGTGGCGCCTGCTATAAGTTTATTTTTCAATTAAAGTATTCGGACTTCTTTATAATATTACCAGCTGGTACCCGGCGCGTTGCAGCTGCAGAAGAAATAATTGTGAAAATATCGTTTTAAATTTGGAACAGTTATATTGTTAAATTAGGAATAATATTTTCATTAAAGTTGAATTATATATTACTTTCAAATTTGTCGGTACGATTCATGCGCCACCTACTGTATGTTAATTGTACTATAGCTATAACGTTCGCGTAAGTTCAGGCAATAAGTCGACAAAGTTATGCAATCTGATGAACGGTATGGCAGCGCATAAAATACTAAGAAACAAATATTAATTTTTATATAATACTATGTTACATAGTAGGATTGGCAACCCGAGTGGAGCTGAAGAGCAGTAACTTATTCATAAATAAATCTTTTGAAGTTTTCTAAACTCGGAAACACAAATATTTCGAAGAAAGTAAAATAAGGTCTTGCTTGCTTTCGGCATATCGAGCGTATTTTAACCTCTCAGATCTTGATATTGTATCGGACCAACTCTGTCAGACCTGTGGTCAGGCCACGGTTAATATTTTTTTTTTGATTCTCAAAACCAGCCCTTGTCAAGTAATGTATGGAATCTATGCGGTATTAATAACAGCGCCACTGTATAAATTAGGCGGCTTCGCAGGTCGATGTAGTACTTGACAAACCGTGTAGATGTAGCCGTTACAGAATTATTTCATTAGTAAAAAAAATACATACGTCATAGACTAATCAATAAAATGACTTTTTATTTTATAACTCCCTATTTCTATTTTTGATGGTGTTTTTGGAAGTGAGAAACTACGCCTGAGTCGATCATAATTTATTATCTCTTTGATTTGATCGCAACCAGCAAGCGAGTGATCGAGTCACGGATCTCAAAAAGATTCGATAATTTTTAACCAGCGTCTTGCTAATTCGCCATACCCGTTGCCCGAGTATTGCGATGTTCGTTGTTTTTTTTTTTTTTTTTTTCTCGGTGTGTATGTCGTGAGATATTTGCTGACTTTGCTGTGCATAGACTAGTTTATTAATTATATATAATTATTCAAAAATATTAAATATACATTTTTACATTGATGATTACAGTCACGTTCGACCCGAGTTAGAACATATTACGATTAATATAGGCCTATGAGAAACCTTATGGTACTTGAATTCAGTGAGGTACTAGAGTACCTGGTAAATGTAGTTAGTGATTTAAATACTCCTTGGTACCCGACCGACCGATTCGAGTACTCGGATACTCGATTCGAGTTAGTGACACGATTATTTTTATAACCAGTACCAAAGTATTCAAATACCAAAAATAGTCGACTCAGCACAGTGGAGTAATGGTCATTCGGCTCCTCCAGCCGATTGGTACAGAGCAGAGATATTTTAACTATTGAGCTTATAAAATGTTTCAAATATACAAAATGTAATTTTTACACCAATTGGCGCACGTAGGTGAAAGAACGAGGAATAAACCTTAAAAGCTATATTGGTCAATGCTATGTAATAATAATCAATTTTGATTGATTTCTTACAAATAAAGACTGATATGTTAATCGTTATCTTTCATCTCATATTTTCCTCTACCTTTTAGACACACGCACACACACACGTACGCGTACACGAGCGCTCTCTCTAACAAACACACAATTGTTTAAAATAGCCGGATGTTGGCGACACAAGAGAATCCACCATCTCGTTTTCGTTCGTCCGGATGACTTTCGTTGGATGGTGTTATAACTAACTCAAAGCCAAGCGTAAAATACTAGACCACTGACAGGGAACAGCGTCTAATGTTCGAGTCGTCAATCCGGCTGCCAAACATGGTGATGGTAAATTAACAGTACTTTTATTACCTATAGAAGACGAATGCTTGTAAATTAAGAATCCAAAAGAAATGAGAGAAATTCTTCAACATGATACCACACTTTTTTTTAACGCCATCTGTTTCAGTTTATATTAGAACTAGCTGTCCCTCGCGACTTCGCCCGCGTAGAAATTACTACGATTTCAAGGGTTTTAACTTTTTTGCACGGAACCCTTCTTTTTCTAAAATAAAAGTATCCTGAGTTAATCCTTATAACATCAGCTATTTGCCAGTGAAAGTCCCGTCAAAAACGATCCAGCCGTTTCGGAGATATACGTATATACTTTCATATGAATTTAGTAAAAAGCTGTTATTTTAACATTACAATCAGACACTTTGATTTTATTTATTTGTATAGATTATATCAAACCAGCTGGTAACCGGCGCATTGCTGCCGCAGAAGAAATAATTTAAATTTGGAAGAGTCATATAGTTTAATTAGGAAACATGACTACCTATAACCTTCAGGCAAGTGCAAGCAATAAGTTGACAAAGTTTTAGCGCAATCTGATGAACGGTATGGCAGCGCATAAAATACGAACAAACAAACATTAATTTTTATATATTAGATGATATAGGTATTTGATTGAACGATGTCATTAAAGGCAGTCGAATAAAATAGAGATACGACGTTCACAAAATGGTCCTACATTAAGTCAGCCATCTTTATGACAAATGTGAGTGCAAATATTTGCGTACCCATCTTCTCACTCAAACTTTATTCAAATAAAATAAATGTATTGTACATGTTTAATGCCGCCTCTAAGAGACGAATTTTACTTCATTTATTTGGCCGTGGTGGGAATAAAGGAGATCCGCAGGAAAAGCAGGTTGTTAATTACCCAAAAGCTGACTAGGCTGAAGCCTAGGGCGCAATGTTCAAGGGGACGCTGAGCTTGCCTTTGCAAGCACCACTTATGTACAGATATAAATTTTTGGTATAATATACGAGGGTGGATTGAAAAGTACTCGGCCTAACCAAGAAAATAAACAAATACTAAATCAGTTATATTTTTATTTTTCTACATAATCACCATCAAGTTCAATACACTTTTGCCACCTCCCCTTCCAAGCATTTAGACCGTTGAAAAAAAATGATTCTTCCTTAGAGTCAAAATATGCGTCTACAGCTGCTTTGACCTCGTCGTTTGTCGAAAATCTTTGACCTCCCAAGTGCTTTTTTAGGTTAGGGAACAGAAAGAAGTCTGATGGTGCCAGATCAGGTGAATACGGCGGATGCGGTAACAGTTCAAAGCCACAGTTGTGAATTTCAGCCATTGACTGTACTGACGTGTGAACACGGGCGTTATCTTGATGAAACAGGACTTTTCTTCTGAGCATTCCTCGACGTTTTTCTTTTATTTCCTCTCGTAAACGACGTAGTAAGGTGCAGTAGTAATCAGAGTTTATATTCTGACCCCTTTCAAGATAATCAATCATAATCACACCTTTCGAGTCCCAGAATACTGAAGCCATCACCTTATTTGCCGACAAAATCGACTTAGCCTTTTTAGGGGGTGGTGAACCAGGTCTTCTCCACTTTTTTGATTGTTGTTTTGTTTCCGGTGTACAGTAATGAACCCATGTTTCGTCCATAGTAACAAAACGATTCAAAAAATCATCTGCATCGGCTTCAAATAACTCCAAACAGTCGCGTGAAATAGTCAATCGCGTCCTTTTTTGTTCAACTGAAAGCAGTGCGGAACCCACCTCGCAGACACCTTGTGGAAACCCAACTCGTTGACAATGATGTTTTGAGTTCGTTCATAAGAGATGCCTATAATCTCGGCTATCTCTCTAATTTTTAATCTGCGGTCTCCCATTATTAAATCAAGTACTTTTTTAATATTTTCGTCAGTAGTTGACGTCGAAGGCCTTCCAGAGCGGGGTTCATCTTTCACACTCTCTCTACCACGCTTAAATTCTGCTATCCATTTTTTGACGGATGAATATGACAGAGCACAATCGCCTAATGTACTGACCATTTCATCATGGATGGCTTTTGATGATAGCCCCTTCTTATGGAGGTACTTAATGACGGCACGCTGCTCGATTTGCTCCATTCGCGGAAATTATGTCCGATTACTTTGTTAATAAATTTATAAAATCACAACTAATTATCGCACACGTTTCGAACTTCACACAATGAACTAGTCTGAACTGAACTAAACAATGTGGGTAGATTTGATTTTTAGAATTGAATGGATCTGTGTTAGGCCGAGTACTTTTCAATCCACCCTCGTACATACATACATATAATCACGCCTCTTTTCCGTAGGGGTAGGCAGAGACCAGTTCTTTCCACTTGCTACGATCCTTA